GAAACCAATGGAGTTTTTAGTATTTTGATACTTACAATAGTACGAAATCAATGCTGGCAGGTGTTCCTAGATCTCTCAACTGAGCCACTTGCACAAAGGCACCGCAGGCATAAGCGGAGGTTGTGGCGTAAAAGGCATAGGCATAGGGTCTCTTCTCCTTTTTTGGCGTATTACCTCGACTGCTTCCTTTTCTTCCTTCTTCCACAATCGATTCGGATGTCGACAAACCAACTAGATCAATCACCTTCCAATTGTCTTCAGAGGGTTCCAACCAAATGACGTTCAGTTGCATCCCACCAATAACGACGATTGAAGCGAGCACTAGTAGTACTAACAATAGAAGCCAAAGACGACATCTGGTCCGACGACGCTGACGAGACCGCAGGATTTTCGACTGAGTCATCATCACTGCTCATTCATTCATACTTCATCTTTCTTGCCACAAATCTGTTTTTTCAATGCCTCTCATATCATATTATCATCCCGAGTTATACATTCAATATCGTTGTTGTTGTTTTGTACCGTAGGTACATCTATTGAAAAAAGGCTGACTTTGGACCACTTCGATTTCAAATTCGGACGCAAACAGACTCACAAAATCTGACACCCAGTTTTGTCTTTTGGCGGGAAACAGCATTGCTTTTGATTTCACACTATATACTTTTACTGCTCCTACAAAAGAAAAGCACAAGCACAAGCAGCATGGCCCTTCATCTCTCCAAGCGCCTAGCAGGCCGACACCTCACCAGCCTCTCGGCTAAGCAGATTGTGGCATCCACCAGCACTCACAATGTCCTTCTTCATGGCCTTCCACGAGAACAGCAGTCAGATGTCACTGTTAGCAGGACCATCATGATGGCCACAAGAAGTTTCTCATTCCATTCTCATCAGTTTCCGTCACTGCAAGCTGTCGTCAATAAGCGATTCTTCTCCTCTCCTGGTGGTGGGGGTGGTGGTGGTTATCAAGCAAGTCCTTCGTATCAAATTTATGGGGAAGAGGT